ACATATTTTAAAAAATTAATCATGAAAAAAATCATTTTAATAACAAAAAACTATTCAAAGACAAAGTTTAATGAAAAATAGTTAAATTTATATGTAAAAAAAATTAAAAACATTAAACTATAACAAAAATTAACTAAATTCAAAACTAATATTTGTTTCTATAAATTTTCGTCATAAAGAAAAAAATTAAATATGAAAAAATGGAAATTAAAAAAAAAAAACTCTAATCTGGGTCTACCCAATCCAGCTAGCCGGTCGGTTCGCGGTCGAACCCGATCCGACCCCCGGTCCGATCCGGTTTTCAAAACATTGGGTTTAAACGCTTTGAGGATCTCGCCATGGGAAAAACATAATTCAAATTGAACCAATCTGAACCGGTTTATACAAATTGAACCGGGTTACTTTCTTCTATGTTTGAAATTCAAATAAATTTCTTTTAAACAGGTTTGAATTATAGTTATTTTTTTGTTTTGATAGAGGTGATCCGGATTTTTACCATCCGATTAATCTCTCAGAAATAGTGTAGCGTCGAATAGTTTATTTACCGGGTTTTTTAATAGCCATAAGGTGTAACACCATTCTGACTGGTAAAATAAAAGTGAAATTGTTTTCACCGAAAATCGAACTCATATTAGAAAGTCGAGTTATAGTTTTTAAAACGCAATTTTCTATAGTAGTGGACAATGACCAATAAAATTAACTAGACTTGGTCTATAGTCGGTTCTTTGTACCAAATACGAATAATATTGAGGCTTAGCCCAAATAAACAACCGAGATTTACAAACTGATTACTTTCTCGTTTCGATTAGTTGAAATTGATCCATAACCAGTAAAAGAGTTAAGTTAGTAAAACGAAAAATAAAAATAAATCAGTATATGCATGTTGATCAAATATAACAAAAATTTGTAAATTTATCGAACAATATCTTATCTTTAACATACAAATAATTTCTAAAAATCGTGAATTCTACTATAAGACAACGAAATATAATTTGTCACATATATACAACAAAATCTACAATATCCACCCAAAGACCAAATTTTGGGTAATTGGGATAAAGATTTACGTGAGTGTTCATCATCCGCGGCACTCGCCCGAACCATTGCGGATATGTGTGCAACCGTTCCCACCGGACGCAGGCACCGTACCTCTCTGCAACGACACGAACCGGATCTCGCTATCGACCGTGGCTCGTAACACTCTAATGGCTCCTACTTGTTTAGCGTCCAAGAAAATCAAGAAAAGTGCAAACAAAACCACTACAAAGATCACTTGTTTCTTCATCATCACTTTTGTTGTCTCTCTCTTTGAACTAAACTAAAAAAGGGGATTCACTTTTGTTGTAAGGTCTTACTCTTTTTATGGCATTGAGATTTGAGTGGGGTATAGAATTTTGAGTATGAGTTACATATATAGGGAGGTTTGTTTCTTGGTCTTTACTCAAAATATTCATATGATTTGACTTTTTTATTTATAAAGAATTGGTCTTCAACATTTGAACCAAGAAAATTTATAGAAACTGATCAATCAATTTAACACATAACACGGTTTTTTGTCTTGGTCCACACGGTCTTTTATATTGTTTGCTCTAAACGAAGTTCACATCTCACGGGATTTGAATTAAATTTGGAGGAAAATACAAACCGGTATGCTATTCCGGTTTGGTTTTCTGATAAATAAACGGTTGTTATTGATTTGGTGTTGGTACTAGGGGATTGACTTTGGGATAAATGGTCTGATTGAAGTAGTCTCCTTTTTTTGTTTTTTCTTTGAAATTATGATGCTCATTCACGATTTTTTTTTTTTTAACGCTAAACAAGAATTGCATAAATTGACCAATGTTTACATCATCGAAAAAAAGAGAAATCAAGCCCAATCAAAAGCCTACAAAGAGAGAAAGACAATCAGACCGAGGATAGCCTTTCAGCCTCTTCGAGAAAGAGGGACCTAAGCCAAGCAGGCGGACCCGAGGCGATGTAAGATTGAAATCGATTCCCCGTTGAAGCGCTATGAGCAATCTTGTAGGAAGCCAAATTTGCACNTCGAGATTCAAAGACAAGCTTCCCATTACNCANAGNACGAAGCAGAGCAAGAAGNTTTGTGGATTGGAATAGGAATGACGGTGATGNCGTTGGTTTTGAGACNGATTTAACAAGACATTGATCAGAGAATGCGAACACGACATTTGCAAATCGAAGTGTAGCCATACTCTCAATTGCCCAACNTAATGCCGAGAAGGAAGCTTCCAAATTAGAAGGAACGGAAGCGAAAGAGCATCTACCATGCAAGAGGACCGTTCCTCTTTCGTTACGTAAGACCCAAGCTGCACCACATTCAAAAGAGGAGTTGTGCCAGGAGAAAGAAACATTACACTTCAGCCAATTAGATGGTGGAGGGTGCCACCGATCCTGATGATTGAACCTGGACGAGTGGTGGGACGCTTGGATGGTTCTTTCTACGTGTTGAGCCATGGACCATTGAGAAGCATCATGAAGGGCTTTGTTAACAACCTCGA